ATGGCTCGAAACACCTACACCGGTTCGGTTGCAACCGAGGCCGATGGCACCAACACAAGATAAGGGAAAAATAGGTAGAATTAGAGATAGAAAAGGATAGGGAAATAAAGGAGAGAGAAAAGGGAACCCCCGAGCGCCAAGGATACCGTAGGCTAGAGTAGAAGGGAATGTCTTGGAAAAGACGGACTTCGACCAAGGCGATATCAAACTCTGGCAACTCGGGTTACCTTTACTGACTTGGTGGTCAGAGGGCTAAGGTATATATCGCTCCCCCGGAGCCAGTACAGTAGCCTGCGGCGCTAGATCCTAGATCTAATCTAGTGTCAGCAAAATTAATGCCAACTAATTAACTAAATAAAATAAAATAATTAAAAATTAAAACTGTGCCATTATTCACACGTGTGTCCCCCAACCCGGACTACTTTTCATATCCAAATATTTTCCTTTCTTTTCACCCCCTTTTCAGATGCGTATTGCACTACAACCGTGTTGACCCTCGATCTCCTGTGAACAAATGTAAACGTCTTATTGGCTGTAAGGCAAAAAAGATTGACAAGAACGGCTACTTATGGGCGGATTCAGCTCGAACCCGAACGACATGTCATTTCGATCGTAGTTGATTGGGCAATGCTCTCCTGGCAGCACGTTGCAGCCGGCGCAATGCGCGTGTTCACAAAGTTACAGGATAATAAAGTGGGCTCCGTGCGCGCTTCGCGCGCCAAGCCAAGTCCCTTCCTCCTCCTCTCCTCGTTCTGCACACGCTGTCGTTCCCCGCCCCCCTGCTCCCCCTCCCTCTGCGCTAACTCTCCCGTCTTCTCTCCGGTCTTTGTCGCCCCTTGCCCCCTCGTCCTGCCACACGTTACTCGCCCCTGCGCGTCGCGCCCGGTCCGCACCGCCGCCCTCAGCGCCGCCGCCCGCCTGTGTCCCCTTCCCCCCCGACCGCGGTTCGGTCCCTGCAGCCCGCAAACATGGTCAGCGCCGCTGCCCTCCACGCCGCCGCTCGCTTCCGCCTAACACTGCTACCTGGCGGCGGCTCCCGGCACCCACCCGCCTGCGCGCGCCCTCCTGCACCGCCGGCTGCGACACCTGCCCGGCTCTCAGCGACCACTTTCCCCGTTCTTCGCACCTCCGTGATGCGCGCGGCCCGCGCCGCCGCCCTCCGCGCCACCGCTCTCACCACTACCTCGACCGCCCCTTCCTAAGCGCACCCGTCCACCACGTCCCCGCGCCGCAGGCACACCCCGCCCACCAGCCCGCAGAACGTCTCTGCCACGCCCGCGTCCGTCCGCCCCGCCACTGCCACCCACCACGCACGTCGCCCGCCACATCTCGCCGCGCACGGCGCTCTTCGCCGCGTGCTGCCCGCTCATGTTGCGCAGAAGCTCCACGCAGCTCGCCACCATGCGCGCGTCGCCCGCCTGCCGGTCCAGCAGAGTCTCCGCCGCCGCTTGGAACCGCTTTGCGTGGAGCTGCATGCACACCGCGTCCGCGATCTCGCGCGCACGCCCGTCCCACCCGCCGCACTCGCCCACCACGGCGTCAACGCCTGCCTCCGCTGCTACCCGGCACACCACGTCCGTCACCGTCTCTGAGCAACCCAGTTAGCGCCCGCTCGCCGTCGCGCCTCCCCCACCTCCCAACACGCGCGCCCAGTTGAAGCCCGCTCGCCGTCCCGCCTCCCCCGCCGCCCGGCACGCGCGCCCGGTTGAAGACTCTTGTAGTACTCCACGCCGTCCAGCTCTGGCCCGGTCCGCTCCCGCGCCCTCCGCTCCGCCACGCGCACGCGCGAGTGTGGTGATCCATGCCGCCCCGCCTCGGCGCCCCCCACCGTCCCCCCCCCACCCTACGTATTGCTGATCAATATTTGCGAATTTAACTCAAATTCCAAACGTGGAATCCCGTTGTGATAGTGGTAAGGTTATTTATTCTG